AGGGCCAGCAGGCACAGCAGCCCTGCAGCAGCAGGACACGCACACACGGCCCAGCCCTGCAATGCCCAAGTGCTCGTCTTTATTGAANGGTCACCAGGGGCGCTGTTGGGTCCCAGCCAGGCAGGGTGGGTGCGATGATTCCCCCCGGCCGCAGGGGGCGCTGTGGGGCGAGTCCCAGCAGGTTCACATCTCCCAGTGGCCAATGGCGGACACAAACCAGCAGAGGTGGATAGAGAGAAGTTCCTCTGCAAACTCACAGCAGAAACGTCGATCTCGGTGCTCCTCTGGATAGCAAGAAACCCCAGAACTGCCGAATGAGCAAAGATATGAACAGAATCCTACAGCTGCAGATGAGATGCAGCTSAACTCAACCACTGCAGCTGGAATCACACAGATCCCCAGCAAGGCACTGGGGCAGAAGATCACAGTGCAGCAAACAGGAACCAACGAATGGAGATGCTGGGCTCTGGAGAAAGCAGCAGTTGAGATCTCCCCCACAGGTAGCAGGACCACCATCCTCCCCGGAGCCAAGCAGGGCAGGAAGTGACGCTACCTCCCGTCCCACACAAATGCCCTGCCCAGCCAAAAACGTCTGTGAGAGCTTCCCTCTCTCCAAAAAAAAAAAAAAAAACCAAAAACAAACTGCCAGACAGGAGATGTTCTTAGGGAGACTTTTCGGATGGGGCTAGGGTCTTTTTTCTTCAACAAAGGCCCAGCCATCAAAAGGATGACCAGGCAATCAGTGTAACCCAGCAACCAAATGAAAATTGCTCAAGAAAGGAAACAAAAGGAGAAACCTTAACCCACAACACCCATTTACTGCCCCTGTGAAACTTTGGCCATTTGCAGGCAAATGGTCAAGTAAAGCCATGTCTGAGGACAACCAGTCCAGGAGCTGAATGGCCTCCTCCTCCTGCTCCTGGCTGCTGGGACAGGGTGTGCAGCAGCACAGCCCCACACAGGCACAGCAGGGAGGGTGGTGGCACTGGAACAGGACAAGGAGGAACAGCAGGGACAGCTCCTGTGGGTCACCATGGCCATGCACGATCAAGGGACATAACCCCAGCATAGACCTGCACGTGAAGCTGTTACTGCCAAGGGACAAGGGACATGTGAAAGTAGCAGGACCAGCACAGGGATCGCACTTTCCCCACAAGAAGCATCTGCAGCACAGCTCCATCCCAGGCACCCCAAACAGCCTGGCCCTGCAGGCACTGACAGGCTCAGCGTCCCCAAAGCTCGGCCAGGCAGGAGCATCCCCAGGGACACACACGCTGCTCACCCCCAGCACCATCCCCAGGGCCTTGTGCTGCCACCAAGGCAGTGCCACCCCCAGGGCCAGCAGGCACAGCAGCCCTGCAGCAGCAGGACACCCACACACGGCCCCGCCCTGCAATGCCCAAGTGCTCGTCTTTATTGAAGCCAGGAAAAGCAGCCCCNTTGATCAAACCCACAAGGATTTTTCCCTCCCTTATTTGGCATCCATCCCACATGGAATTAATAAGGGGATTATTTAGCAGACATTGACAGGAAATAAATTTGCAGCACATTTCATTGTGGGCAAAGGAGGAAACTGTTTCCTCAGCCAGGATTCCGACCTCATCTCTTGCAGCACACGCTGTACAGCGTGCATCTTCCAATGGATCTCGCAGGGTAGTTGCATCTCCCATAAGTGCAGTATCCCCTATTTCGCTTGCATTGACCTGGAGTTCCTGTTTCCATGGGGAAAGAGAAAACACCCAGAACAAATAAAGCAATTATCTGTGAGTGCACTGTGTGCTTACAAAAGGCTGATACTGCTCGTGACTTTCAGTCCAATGGATGGGCTCAGGTTCCACCTCCCCCCTGCAAAAATCATGCACAGGGCAAAAGATCATCCAGAGACACCCAACAGGAAAAGGTGGTGCAGGGTCGAAGCCTGAAACAAAACTCCTTCCTGACCCACCAAAGGAACCAGGATTGTTTTTCCAGGGGCTCTCTCCACCCCATGTCTGTGTCSTGTTGAACAGTCACTGGAGAAACACCTTTTTCTTCAATCCCCCTTACCTTTGCATCATTCCCACCGACAGTCACTTCCCAAGACATGGAAAACCCSAATAAATGGGGGCCCACACCTCCCCCAATTTCCCCTCTTCCCCTCTCACCTGCAGCACCCTGGACCAGCAGGAGGATCAGGGGGAAGAGCAGGAACAGGATCTTCATGGCTGCTGCCTCTCCTGGGTCTTCACAGGGCTGCAGAGGGGACACCAAGGCAATGGGGACATGCAGGAGCCCAGGTGGGGCAGGAGCCTGGGTTCTGTGCTTCACCAAACTGCAGAGGGGCTGCCTCCAGCCACAGCAAATGATGTTTCCTCTCATTATCTCTTATAAAGAATTCTGGTATCTGGGCCATGCTTCCAACCTTGGGTGCATTTCATGATGTCCCATTCTCTGGGAAATCCATTACSTCATCCGATCCTTTTTCAGGAGACTCCACAATCACCTACCTGATGAAGCTCTTGGTGTTCAGGCAGCAACAAACCCAGCAGGAATCACTGTGTCCAGCAGCCCTTGGGTCCAAGGAGCACTTTTTGGGGCAAAACACTCTGATTTTATATCGTTGCAAGCCGTGGGGACATTCACTGATTTTTGCTGTCACATCTCSCCTTGGCCAATCAGAAAGCCACCCATCCATGTGGGGGTGCTGGGGTTTCTCCTCATCCCTCTCTGATGCAATGGCAGAGGCTGAGGGGCCTCCTGGGGCTGTTGCAATCACAGTCACCGTTGTCCCCACGCAACACCTCTTGTGACACCCCTGGCACAGCGGCACCGGGCTGTGGTGGCCTGGCATGGACTGCCTGGGATGGACAAAACAGGCTGGTGCTGGCAGAAGGGGGAACCAGTCCCAACCAGTGTTTCCTGTGATGATGGTGAGACCCTGGCAAAGGGTGCCCAGAGAAGCTGTGGCTTCCCCTGGATCCCTGGAAATGTCCAAGGCCAGGTTTGATAGGGCTTGGAGCAACCTGGGATAGTGGAAGGTGTCCCTGTCAACGGCAGTGGATGGAACTGGATGATCTTTGACATCTCTTCCAACCCAAACCATTCCATGATTCTGTGATAAAATATTTGTCTCTCCCTGTCCTGTGAGTTTGTTTAGTGAGCTGGTTTTGTGTGACACATAGAAGCGTTCAAAAATTTTTGATTTTCTTCTCTATTTACATCACAATAGCAGCTTAACCTTTGCCAAGGATTTGCCCTGCCAGGAAGTGATAAGATTAAGGTTGCCTTTCTGGTAGCTGTTCAGATAAACAAGAAATGCACAGAGGGAAAGTAGTCAGGTGAGACTGCACCTCACCTCGTTCTGTCTGAATCCACTGCTCCTAAAACTGCCAAAATCTGCAAATGTCATTCAACAGAAGCAAAACCCAATTAAGTGTGTGCAAACTACGGGAGATGGGTGAAGGAAGGCAAACAGGACCTTATCAGGCCTTGGAGGTGTGAACTTGATCAAGAGAGTTTTTGGATTTATAGGATTTCTGTGGTGTTTCAGAAAGATGAAGATCAAGGTGGCCCACTGAGGAAAGGTCCTGAGATAGAAAGAAGCCCGTCCTACATTCGTGTCAKTATCTGTCCTGTATTCCGAGTAAACTTTATTTCTAAGCCTTTTTTGTACAAACAATCTGCCTGTGGTGTGTCCATTACTCAGGGAGAACAAAGCCCTTGGATCTGGTTCTTGGAGTGAAGGGTGGGGCTTGAGGTTGGATGCATCACGGACACAGGGTCTGGTGTCATCTCTCTGAGAGATGCGTGGAATSATGGGATGGTTTGGGTTGGAAGGAGCCTTAAAGATCATCTCATTCCAACCCCCTGCCATGGGCAGRSACACTTTGATTAGACCACGATGCTCCAAGTCCTGTCCAACCTGGCCCTTTTGCATGATGGGGACATTCCCTCAGCATCAATTGCAGAATTCAGTGTGCATTGCTGGGTCTTTGTTTCTGGAGATTTGGAACCACTCAGGACCAGCCCAGGGCCAGCACAGCCAGGAGCTGCTGTTTATGGCATGGAAAGGGCTTCTCTAATCCCCACTGCAGGGAGGCCATGGCTGGGACCAGCCCTGCCCAGGGGAACTGCTCTGACCTGGGATCCTGTGCTCGACCCCATCAGAGCTGCAGCTTGGCCTTGCTGATCCTGGCACARAGTTGGACCCGCAGCTGGCACGCTGATCTGACCTTCCCTGTACCCACAGCACTGCCCAGTACCCCAGGAGAGGCTGCTCCCACCCTCTGGCTGCCCTCCTCCATGGAGGGGGCTGTGGCTGTCCCTTGCCCTGGCAGCCCCATGGTGACTGCCCCAATGGCGACCCCCACGGCACCCCTGAGCAGATCCTGGATATGCCACAAGGCTCACCCACACCTGGGCTCCTAAATGAGCCCCTACCCCAGCCCCAGGCCTTGAAACCCTCCCACACTGACCCCCAGCTCAGACCCAAGCTTCTGAGAAGCCCAGGGCTAAAGCCATCAGTCCCTATCGCCTCTGGAGCAGAATGGCTCTCCCTTACTCCGATATATCCCCAAAACACCCCAACACATGGAGGACGTGGTGTCCCCCACGCAGGCCCCACAGCTGGGGATGGACCCCAAGATGCCCCATGAGGACAGCCCCATGGAACAGCCCCACGAGGACTCCTGACCCAATTTGGGATCCAGTGGACAACCAGCAGGTCCCCACAGAAATTAGAGGTGTCACAGCAACCCCCAACCCCTGACCTGGGTGTGCAGTGCTAGTGTCCCCTCACTGAGCCAAAAGGCCGGTGCTGGGGTCCCTGTGAGTGTCACATGTGTCCCCCTCCCCTGATGGATGGAGATGCTGGTGTGGCTGAGGCCAGCATGGGGAGAAGATGGACAGTGGGGCAGTGCTTGTGTGTCCACCTCTGTCAGGAATTCACCGCGTCCTCTTCACCCTTCCCGATGCGCAGAGGAAAGAGATGCACACCCAGGACACACATCTGGGCAGTGGGAATGGCCACCGCCGTGTATTGGGGACATGCTGGGGACGCTGGATAAGGGATGGCATCAAGGTCTGGCTGTCCAGGGGTGTCGCTGCTCCCAGCGGTGCTTGGTGCCTCCGGGCAGCATCGTCCCGACCGCGCAGGGAGGGCAGGAGCTGCTGCTCTGCTCGGGGATCCGGGAGCTCCTCAGGGGTACCATCGCCTGCGGGAGGGAAATTCTGGCAGTGCTTGTCCCTTCCAGGGCGGCAGAGAGAGCTCAGGGATGTCCCTGAACCCTTGGGCTGCATATTTCCCCTTTTTTTCCCCAACAGCCTCACCGCAAACCCCAACAGGGAGCAGCCTGAGCYCTGAACTTACATCCGGCAGCAGAATTCCTGCTCGGAGCAGAGCCCGACACGGCCGATSCCCGGCGGGCAGGAGCGGTGCGAGCAGAATCCTCCGCGCCGCTCGCAGTCCTGCGCTGATGCTCGGCCCGGGGAGAGCCCTGCAGGGCACACAGAGAGGAAGGAAACTTCCAGCCGAGATGCTGAGCGCAGCCCCTGCTCCCTGCGTGGCCAGCGTTAGCCCAGCCCTGCCCGCCCCACGCCGCGGATGCTGAGCAGGTGCGTGCAGCAGGAATCCGGGCGGGTTTATGGCGCTCGGACGGGAGACACTGCACCCCTAGACAGGCTCTGCCAGAGGCTTTCCATCGTGCCTACTGCCTCTCCCCCGGAACGAGGGAGAAGAGAACTCCAAGGGTGGAAGCAGGATTTCCCGTCCTCCTCCATCCTCCTCCTCCTCTCCAGCAGGGCTGCTGTGCCCAATGCTGCCGATTCAGAAAGGCAAGGGCGAGGGYGTGGGAGAGGGGATCAAATCCCAGTTTGGGAAGGCTGACAGCTTTAGTACAACACCCCAGCTCTGGTCCCAAGTGTAAAACCCGAAACTGGAGTGTTTCCTTGAAGGTTTGGGGTGAGAGGAACCTGGTAGGGATGGCACAGCCACCAGGGGAACTCACACGTGGCTCATCAGCCCAGCTGGCAAATCCCCCCTACAAAAACACCGACAAAGCACAAACCCTCCCATTTCTTACCTGTCACTGCCTGCAGCACCAGGAGGAGCAGAGCCCACATGATGGGCATGATCCGCATGCCTGGGAGTCACCAGCAGGGTCGCAGCTCTGGGGAGAGAAGGGAAGCAGAGGTGAATGGGAGGGTCCCTGCCTGCAGGTCGTGTGTCACCTGCACGGGGACAGAGCTGAGGAGAGGGGATGTGACCGATGTGACCAGTCACTGGCAGGAGGATGYACTCAGCAGCCCGGAAYTGGAGCTTTCCARCACCAGCAGCTGCAGTTTGGTCTCYCCGCTTGGCACAGCGCCCCTTGGGATGGCTGACACCTCAAAATGCCCAGCCCCAAAGCTCCTTTTTCTGTTTCTTTCCCGGACAGAGAGAAACAAACAGAGCTTTCCTCATCTGACACCTGAGGAGGATTCCCAAACCTCCAGCCCAGGATCTTGTGTCACCCCGTGTTGCGTAAGGGCCGCTGTGGTTTGCCGGACACCTCTGGGGTCACACACACAGCGTCCCTGTTYGTTAGCTTTGGCAAACAATCAGCTTTCCCCACACAAAGGAGCTCTGTCTGCCTCCCCCCACGGGAAGCACGCTCTCTATGCTTCACTTGAAAATAACTGGGAAGAYGCTGCTTGGGATGACAGCCCCGTCCAACAGGCAATCCCAGCAAGGACAAGCTTTAATTGTGGCTTTGTTTGGGGTGGTTTGCTGTGTGTAACCCTTTGCTTGTGTTTGATGGTGCATCTTTACAGATTTTCCAGCTTTGCTGCAGGTTCTGGGTTATGGGTAAGTGGGTGTGGATSTCSTGCACGATGGGTGTTCRCTGAGWGGYCACACRAATYGWGGAATCACAGAATGGTTTGGTTTGCAAGGAGGTTCCAGCCTACTGCTACACCTTCCAGTAGGTGCTCCAAGCCCTGTCCAACCTGGCCTTGAACACTTCCAGGGATGGGACAGCCACAGYTTCTCTGGGCAAAACATGAATGYGCCTTTGATCCCAACAACTCACCGTATTTTGTTGTTTTTTCACTCCCCYCTGAGGGAAATCGTACAAACCATTTGCAGATCTGTACCCAGGGGGGTCACTGCTACTCTGCTGTGGTAGAACACTCCAGACAGCTTCTTATTTCCTTCACCTGATCCAACAGCCACAGCCAGAAAAAGGAAAAGGCCTTGCCCCATTTTTTTGTAGTATCTGAGCTGTCTTGGTATGAGAGCCACAGGAGGCAAGGGACTGGGAGCAGCTACATTTGGTAGTCAGGTTCCTTATGGATCTTTGTTAAGGTGGCAATTAATTGTGCCTCTGTGCTGTTACTCTAACAAACGCTCCAGTTTAATCYCTGGAAGTGTCCAAGGCCAGGCTGGACAGGGTTTGAAGCAATCCTGGGGTAGTGGAAGGTGTCCCTGCCCATGGCAGGGCAATAGGATCCAGACAATTTTAAGGTCACCTCCAACACAAATAATTTTATKATTCTCTGCTTCTATGAATTTGAACCTGTGCAGCACTGGGGAGATGGAATTKGGATAAGAAGCAGGGAGGAGATGAACAGCATGGATCATAAGGGGTGTCAGCCTGTATTTCACTCTAAAGCTGGCTCTTGAAGCCATTCCCCAGCCATAAAGGCAAGGACAGATATTTGTGAGCTAAAAGCAYGATGAGACTGGATTCTCCATGATGCTGGCTACCGACAGATGAGTTTAAAATGACAAGGGCTTAATCCTCCCTGCAAAGTCCTTGAGCAAAACTCTTGTGCCATTCCAGTTTGTGAAACACTCACCTACCGTGGATTGTGCAAAATCTTCTTAGGACATCAACTGTAAATTGCTGGTTTGGCTCCACTTGGCAACTTCCTGAGGTTTTTATCCAGGGGATTCCTGGGAGGCAGCCGTTGGCCCAGCTCCCTGCCCTGCACAAGGATGTGGTTTCAAGGGGGGCAGAGTCTTTTGCAGAAACATCTGCTTTGAACAGACYCAGAGACTSAGGGAGYTGGGCCTGCTCKGTCTGGAGAAGGGAAGGCTGAGAAGGGATCTCAAAAATCATTATAAATACCTCCAAGGGGTGCCAGAGGATGGTGCCAGAYTCTGTTCAGTGATGCACAGTGACAGGATGAGGAGCAACGGCCATAAACTAAAACACAAGAAGTTCCACCTCAACATGAGGAAKAAATTCTTTGCATTGAAGCTCTCAGAGTACTGGAACAGCTGCCCAGGGAGGGTGTGGAGTTTYCTCTCTGGAGACATTCCAAATACACCAGGATGCATTCCTGTGTCACCTGCTCCAGGTGACCCTGCCTTGGCARGAAGGTTGGGCTGGATGSTCTCCAGAGGTGCCTTGCAACCCCMAAAATGCTGTGGTTCTGTGAAGGGTGGGCAGATGATCTGCAACRAAGGGGGAACTCAAAGCTTTGAGTCCTTTGCATGTTGCCACTTGGGTTTGGTTGCTTCTCTTAAAAGTCAACCATTACTGCTCCTCCCTTCTCAGAAATCATGGAATGGTTTGGATTGAAAGGGAAATTGATGATAATCTCTATCAAGTCCCCTGCCATGGGCACAGACACCTTCCCCTATCCCAGGTTGCTCCAAGCCCATCCTTGGACATTTCCAGGGATTCAGGGGCAGCCACAGTTTCTCTGGACACAAAGGGTCCTGGTCAGCACAAGAACACTCCTGATCATGCAGGACCAGGGGCGGAGACAGAGCTGACTTAGCAATCTCCTCTTTCTGGGTTTTCTGTTGTGGGCCAGGGCAGGACAGGATGAATCTCTATGAAGAGAAGTCATCAAAGTCMCAGGGGAATTGGCCTCTTGTACATGTTTCTGTAATTGTCTCAAGCAATGTCACAGGTCTAACTCCRATCTCCTGGTTTGCTACTGCAGCCAATATAAATTTTACAGATTTACTCCAAATTTATGTCAGGCAGAAAAAACAACAGAAAATCCAGACTTCAAATTACCAATTGGTCCTGCTCATTGCGTTTTCAGTTCCTATAATAAAACAACATGCTGCTCCCAGGTCTGAAAGCTCTGGGCCAGGAGATGGGAACCCAAAGTTTTCCAAGCAGAGGTTCCATGAAATGTCACCCTGGAGAAGATTTTGTGATCCCAGTGGAAATGGTGACTGATCCTAGCCTTAGTCATGGCAGAGRATTCCTAGCAGGTGTGTGTGGAAAATTTGCCAGCACTCACTCAATCAGCAGCCCAAGAGAGGAAAATATTTTGGTAAACTACACATTCTTGGCAAGTTTAGATTGATTTCAGAATTCTTGTTTRAAGTTCTTAATGGAAATAAGTCTTGGGAAATGAATGGGAAATTAATTACTCTTGGAAATTAATGACAAACACCACAAGGGACAGCCATGCAACTTTCCCAGCTCCTGTTTTTATTGAAAGGAGAATGATAAATCCTTGGTGGCTGGTACAACAATTCCTTGAATCCAACGATGTCAAAAGTGATCATTCCTGGAAATTCTCTGGCAATTAGCCCCACTACAGCCTACACAAAGRAAAGGATATTTCAGGGTTTCCAGTATTATGTTTATGAGAAAAATCCTGCTACTTGGGATTCAAATGATAATTTGGGAAGTCATCTTTGCCCCAGATAAATCCTAAACTTACCATCTGCAGCAATTTTTCCCGGGACCACACGTCCCCAGGTAATCATTGCCACGAGGGCATTTCCCCCTGTGGCAGAAAGTCCCACGATATCCACATGTCAATCTCCCAGGTCTTGCCAAGCTTCCACCTTTAAAAATAACAAATAAATCACAAAATAAACAAAAAAAAAGGGAGACGTTATTTCTGCCAGGGATTTGCATTTTGCTTAATCCCTATGAGCTAACACCGTGTCACACTGGTGCCCCAAGTCATGACAGTTCAGCCCTCAGAGGAGGAGGTCTGTGAGCAGAACAGCCAAGCAAATGCTCTGATTCTTTCTTTTGATGTGTCTCCTAGGCCAGGACTCCCKCAGGAACTCAGATTTTAGGGGTGGACATCAGAAAACTGATAGAAAACAGTAAGTGTGCACTTAGCAGCTCTTGGAGCCTTGTAGGTCACAATTCAGGAGGGTGAACCCRCTCATCTGTGAGGGTCCCACTTTGATAAAAAAAGGGGGAAGAGACTTTTAATGTGAACAGACAAAGGGGAATTGTTTTAAACTAAAAAAGGAAGTGTTTAGATTAGGTTTTAGAGAGAAATTTCTTCCCTGTGAGGGTGGGGAGGCCCTGGCACAGGGTGCCCAGAGATGATGTGGCTGCCCCTGAATCCCTGGAAGTGTCCAAGGTGAGGTTGAATGGGACTTGGAGCAACCTGGGATGGTRGAAGGTGTTGACAGGGTGTGGARTGAGGTCTTTWAATTCCCTTCCAACCCCAACCAGTCCATGATTCTATAGATTTTTCCTGTTTCCCTCCCTGTTCATTTCACCAATGTCTCAAACAGGTCCTGGTGTCCAGCAGCTCACAGGGATGGCTCTCACACATGGATAAATTCATCACTCCATGCAGAAAAACAGTTCCACACCATCAGACCCAGCACACCAGGCATTGCCCTCTGGGTTTGGRTCTGGAACACATGAAATTGCTCTTGCCCACATGGTTAAACTGTCTTCCTTCCTAAAATAGGATATCCCCATCCAAATTGCCTCATGGGATTGCCCACCAGCCTGTACTGCTCCCAGAACAGGTTTTATCTGTGAAAGTGCTGATTTCCAGGGATCAAAACAACCCCAGGGAGCAGACTGGAAACTAGGAAGGATATTGCCTGGCCCTGTTTGGTTGATTAATAAAGATGTARCCTGGCAGCTGATGCGTTCTGGATGCACCTGACTGAGTGCACATGAACCAATTAATCCCAGTTTCCAGCTCATCCATGGAATGATGCTAATTGCAGCAYTTTCAGAGAGAGGGGAGTTTGTTCCAGCAAACAGATAATGGATATTACATGTATCCAATGGATATTACACACATCACTGATGTGCTGTATCCCAGCACGTGGGTGGAGAGACACATGCACATCCAGAAAATCCCAGGGAGAAATAAAGGAGTGCTTGGAAGGGTGAATAAAACTGCCTGTGGGGCACTGCAGAGGTGACTGGGAGCAGTCTGAGCTCTCAGAAACACTATTTATTCCAGATACAGATGGATTTCTAGCTTTGATATACCCAGAAGGTCCTATTGAAAACAGTCCAACATGCACTGTGTGTTAAATAAAAGTACAAAACAGACAAAAGGAGMACTTTGCCCCAAGTCCTGCCTCTTAGAAATGCCAGAAGCAGAAGCCCAGGTAAGAATAAGATCTGACAGCCATAGAGAATCACAGAATCAYGGACTCATTKAGGYTGGAAAAGACCTTTGAGATCATCCAGTCCAATTTTAATCCAGCACTGCYAAGCCCAYCACTRAACCAYRTCCCCAMRTGCCACATSTACACATATTTTAAACCCCTCTAGGGATGTAGGTGACACTGCTCCCACATTTCTTATCTTCTGCAGTCCATCACARTMTTTTTCCATCTTTACTTCCCCAGGGAGCACTTTCCACTGTGTTCCCACAGAGATCAACCCCAAAAATCCACCAGCCCTTGTTTGTGCACAGGGTGCCCTGCAAATGTAGCTGTGCCATTTTCAGGGGCAATATTAAAATACAATCCCCTTTTCTGGACAAAAACTGTGAATTTTGGGGTTCCAGAACCCTTTGCACTCACCCACAGGCACAGCCTTACACCATCTCTTATGGCTGAACAGGTTTCTCCACCAAGGAGATGCTGCCAGTAGCATTTAAACCTTAACTCATGATTTTATGCCCCTCAACCCGAAGTACAAACTCCTAGAGCAAAGTGTATTGGAAGAGCAAAGAACCAGAATCCTTCTCTTTTTTCTGTGTGCTTTAAGAATACCTGGTTATGATTTAATTTGTTTGTTGGGTGGCTCAGAGGCAAAGTGATTTAAGTAAAGTCCTGCAGGGTTTAACAGGGAAAACTGTGGTGCTGAATGGTAATTTTGGGGTTGCCCCTCCTGCTTTCACAGTGATGGTTGGATCGTTTGTCTGCTAATTTCATGTATCATTGTAATCTCCCAGGGAGTTTTGATGATTTCCTTGAGAATTCTTTGCAGGAGGCAGCTTGGCCACATCCCAAAGCAGACAAGGAGACCATGGCAAGACTCTTTAGTCCCTCACCTTGATTTACACCTTACCTGCAGCTCCATGAAATGCCACCAAGAGGAGAACAAGAAGAAAATGAAGGATTTTCATGGCCCAGGGTGGGCTGGGAACTCGGGTCACTGCAGAGAAAGGAGAGCAGGACATTGGTTAGGGGTTTGTCCCTCCACAGTCAGAAAAGTGACACAGAGAAATGTTCTTCAAAACCTGCAAGTTATCTAAAAGAGGTTATGAAACATTTCTGTTATGGTAATATCTATTCCTAAGATTTTCCTGGAGCACACAGAGGATCATGGCACAGGAAAAAAACTTCCATGCAAAAATTAAATTTTAAATCCCCCTTGTAATTAACACTTCAAGTAACCAGCTATTTATCCTTGATTTCTTGATACTTTGTAATGCAATGCAACAAATTTGATTTGCCTTATGGAATTTAAAGCTGTTAATTCAGAAAGTAAGACAACTTTTGCTAGATTTACGCAAAACAACCCCATGGGTTTTCTCAAGTTTTCCTAATTAAAAATGAGCAGAAAAAGCAATTTTCTTCACACAATTAACTCAAAAGCCATCTTTTCCTTATTCTCGCTTAAGGCTGTTGCTTTTTCTTCACCTCAGGAACAACATGATTTCCAGGATAAATTTTTTGAGTATTTGCATTTTCTGCAGCCAACAACAGCTCTTCTCCCTTATCAACATTTTGACACCTCTAGAACTGCCTCGTGTCAGACTGGAGTCACCGCACAGTTAAGGCTATAAAACAAAATTCAGATAAACATGAAAAACATGAAATCTTCAACCCATTTAAGAAGGACAAAACCTTTGAAGAGAAACTGAATAATGAGAATATTTTGCTTGTTACCAGGTAGGAGAAGGCTCTTGGTTGGAACAGTCCTCGGATCAGTGTTGGCCACCCAGATGAAGGAACAGAGCGTGGCTTTGTGCTGTTTGTGGAGAGAAGTTTGACCTCCACAGCCTGGTGGTGGCCAATCAGGCTTTGGGGARCTCTGGAGACACCCAGTGAATCCTCTTTGCTGTCGTCCTGCTAAGAGGAACCGAGGAATGGCTTTCAAACCATTGCAGCATCACCCCAGGAAATGTGTTGGGTGGCACAAACCACCTCGGGCCACCTCCCAAAACCCTTGGGCCACCTCCCTTCGTGCAACCCTTGGGCCACAGAAGCTTGCTCAAAGTCTCAGCTTCCATTTCTTTTCAATTTTGTATTCCCTTACAAACATGGAAAATAATCAGCTGGAATTACAGTAAAATAAGAAACACCAAACCTGTGTTAAATGGGAAGCTGGTTCTTTGGAAATTCGGGGAGAGGATTAGTGAGTTGTCATTAATTCTAACAATTTTTACTGTTGGAAGGGAAAATCTGGGCAATTATGAAGATTGAAAAGATCTGCACTAGGGCATGACAGAGAAAAAAAGCAAGAAAGGAAAACAGAAATCTAAGAGTTGTGAATAAAAAAGGAAAAAATTTTTTTTTTTCAAATTTTTGCACCAAAACATTTTTATTACTAGGTTAACTGCATGGCATGCAAGACATTTTATACCATGTCTATTTATGGAAATTATGACAGCTCATGCTCAGCAATTTTAGTTTTATTATGATCTTTATTCTCTCGCCATGGGCAGGAGGATTTACTGAGCCAAGCACTCGTAAGGATTTACTGAGCCCAGCATTGGTAAGCATCCTCCTTTTTCTCCAAGCACTCCCCCAGCRGCTCCCTGCTCTCCACGCCTTTACGGGCATTTCTATAAATTCAGGTGCCATTTGCAGAGGGATCTTCACTTCCCCTTTTATCCCTCTTTCCTACGGAACCCGGCCAACCCCATTTCGTGGGAGTTGCCGTTCTCCTCTGGCAGCTGCTGGAGCAGGCTGAGCTCACCCCTGCGAGAGCCTCCCTGGGCTCGCCCTTCATGCCCTGCAGGGATTTTTCTTAGATCTCTTTGTTTTCTTTCCCAATCAAAGCAACTATTTCACCGAGGTTTCCAGCACAGCCTTTTCAGCAGCTTTCAGGCTGCCCGAAGGCTTCTCGTTTCTCTGGACTGCTCCTTTTGGTGCTTTTCTTTCCWCACTTTTGGGATTTTGACATTAAGTACTCAACGTTGAATGGATTTGGTCCCACAGCGTGGTTAAACATAATTGTGCTGCGGTCACTTTTACAGAGCAGCTCCCACAAAGGTTTGGAATTTGGTGYTTTGCACTTAATCCAGGAAGGCAAATGTTCCTTTGCCAGGACCAGCTGCTCTAAAAACCACCATTTTACAGCAAGAAAAATCTACATTTTAGAGCAAAAAGGATCTATTCTTTGCATCTCCTGGCATCATCCACGATCGCTGCTCTGCTGCATCACCTCAGGCAAGGGAAGGACCTGCAGAGGATGTGCCCTGGTCCCGGGTCCATCAGGGCTGGGCTGTTGCTGAAACGCTTCTCCGAGGKGTCCTGAGGTATTTGCAGACAGATGTGCACCCAAACATCTGGGCTGAAGCAGGGTCTGTGTGGCAGCTCACCTGGAGAGCCGAGTCCAGATCTGGGACTGGACAATGCCAGAATGACCTGGAGCTGCTGGAGCAAATCCAGAGGATGCCACGGACAGGGACACCTTCCACAGGACCAGACTCCTTCAAATTCTGTCCAACCTGGCTTTGGATGCTTCCAGAGATCCAGGGGCAGCCACAGCTTCTCTGGGAATTGCATCCTCAGGGCCTCACCACCCTCACAGGGAAAAATTCCTTCCCAATATCCTGTCTAACCCTGCCCTCTGGCAGTTTGTACCCATTCTCCCTTGTCTTGACCCTCCATCCCTTGTCCTCCAGTCACTCTCCAGCTCTCCTGGAGCCCCTTTAAGCCCTGGAAGGGGCTCTGAGCTCTCCCCAGAGCCTTCTGTAGCTTTATGGGAGACTGGAGAAGTTTTTTTTTTTACCAGGAGAGGCTTCTGGGTGCTGAAATACAGCAGAGAAAAGCGCAGCCAAACCGGTGGCTGGGAGGCAGCCAGAGCAACTGGGAGCTGGCACAGGAACTGGGGAGGGTGGCTCACTCTGGGAATATCTTCTGGAAGGACTTCTGGCTTTCTCCTTCTCTGCTTGGCATAGTTCCTGTAATGGGGGAATGCACAGAATTTATTCCTGGCTTGGAGAGGAGGAGAGATTGAGGAAAGGCAGCTGAGGCACCTCAGGGTGGGTTTTTTGGGGGAATGATGATGATGGAGGGCAAGGGGGATGAGATGATGAGATTCACACGCTTTCTGTGGGTGACAAGCAGGGTCACATTGTGCCTGAATGGGACCTGGCAGCTTCCTCACTGCTGGATTTGCAAATTTGTTTCTTCCACATCCCGCTCTCAGCTCTGGAAGAGGCTTTGGTGCCCATTAGAGGTTGAGTTATGCTTTGTATGCAAAAAAAAAAAAAAGGGTTTTCTAGGAATGGGCCACTTGGCACTGGTGATATCTGCTGTTGTGGGGGACAGAAACAGCCAAGGCTCAGCTTCCCTTGGCCCCAGAGCCCTAATTACAGCCCTGACTTTGTTAAAAGGCTTTGCTGGAGCTGGGCCCAACAGCTCAACATCGTTAATTAATGGAACATTAATAGGCATGGCAGTGGGACAGGAGGAAAAGTGGTTTGTGCTTTACACCCAAAGGGCTCCCACRCCCAACCAGAAGGATTTGAGGCTGCAAAGATGCCAAGTTGTTGGTGAAAAGCAGGGCTGGACACCCACAGAGAGCCTGGGATGCTCCCATCAGTAGAGACAACCTGGCAAGGACATTTCTGAACAGTTTGGTGGCTCCTCATTAACAGCAGAGCCTGAGCTTCATYGCCAGAATTGCAAAAAACCTCAATAAAATTTTAAAAAATCAACAATTAATGCACGAAAGCTCCTGAACACAGGTACATCCCACAGCCCAGCTGGTGTACAAACTTTTAGGAGCTTCCTGTAGCATTTTGCAAAACCTTAGGTGATATTTTGATTTAATTAAATCCCCTTTCGTGGCTTTTCCTGTAGTGACCTCCTAGGGCTTTATTTTGTAAAATTTTATTTTCTGAAAATCAGGGGTAGAGGCTGCAGGGCTGTAAATCAGGAGAAAAAGCAGATGCACACAAGAGGGCCCCTGAAACCTCCGGCGCTYGGGATCCCATTTCACAACGGTTTCATCTCTGCTGTAGGGAGAGAAAACAACCGGATTAATTTATGGCTCCATGCACACCGTGTCCCAGCTGCCACCTAGTGCTCGTCGCTGCGACACGAGGACATCGCACAGGGGACATCGGGGTGGGAGTGTGGCAATGGACAGTGATTTGGGGGACATGGGAATGGGAGTGTGGCAATGGACAGCGATTTGGGGGACATCGGGGTGGGAGTGTGGCAATGGACAGCGATTTGGGGGACATCGGGGTGGGAGTGTGGCAATGAACAGCGATTTGGGGGACATCGGGGAAGGCGTGTGGCAATGAGCAGCGATTTGGGGGACATCGAGGTGAGAGTGTGGCAATGGAAAAGGAATTGGGGGACATTGGGGTGAGAGTGTGGCAATGGACAAGGAATTGGGGGACATCGAGGTGAGAGTGCGGCAATGAGCAGCGATTTGGGGGACATCGAGGTGGGAGTGTGGCAATGGAAAAGGAATTGGGGGACATTGGGGTGAGAGTGTGGCAATGGACAAGGAATTGGGGGACATCGAGGTGGGAGTGTGGCAATGGACAGCGATTTGGGGGACATCGGGGTGGGAGTGTGGCAATGAGCAGCGATTTGGGGGAATTTGGGGTGGGCGTGTGCCGGTTCTGAAGAACCCAGGGGACATCAGCACGGGCTTGTGCCGCGGCACAAGAACCCGGGGGACATCGGAGAGGGCTCGTGCCAGTGCACGACAATTTGGGGGATGCCAGGACGGGTTTGTGGCAGCGCACAGCAGCCCCAGGGCTCTTGGGCTGGTGAAGCCCCCATCGGTCTCGGTGTCCCCAAGCCCCCGAGGGTGACGCAAGCACGATGATGTCACACTGCCCGGGGAGGGGACACGGGGGGAGGCGCCCGCTGGGGCCGCGGAGGGGCGGGCGGAGCGGGACCGGCTCCGGCGGCTCCTTCCTCCTCCTTCCTCCTCCTCCTCCTCCTCCTCCTTCTCCTCCCCTTCCTCCCTCCTCCTCCTCTCCCCGTGCTGCTCCCAGGATGCGCGGGGCCGTCCCCGGGCTCAGCCTGGCGCTGCTGGCGGCGGAGAGCGGCGCCCGTGAGTGAGCGCGCAGGGTGCGCGCAGGATGCGCGGGGTGCGGGGAGGCTGCGCTCCCGCCCAGAGCGGGGGAGGGCGGGTGGGATAGTGGCAGCGGCCCCTCCGCGGCCATCCCGGGGTCCCGGAGCACCCCCGTGCACCGGGGAGGGGGAGATGCGCGGTTCTGCCGCCGGTGGCACGGTGGGCGCGGGCGTTCAGCATCCCTGCGGGCCCGGCCGTTCCTCTTGGATTTTTTATTTGAATAATGGATTTTTTTCCCCCCCCACTTATTTATTTATTTGGTTGGTTTGGAGGCCGAGGTTTTTATCAGAGCTCTCCGTGGGGCCGGGCCCCTCGGTGGCCGTGGCTGTGTCACAGCTGACAAAGCCACCGGGAGCCGGCAGCTGCAGATAAGAGCAGGACAAGGGCTGCGAACCCTCAGGGCGGGCTGGGAGATGGAGTTCTGGCGGGAATGGCTTTAAACTGACAGAGAGTRGGTTTAGATTGGRTATTAGRAAGAAATTCTTCCCKKTGAGGGTGGTGAGGCCTTGGCACATTTTMCCTRGAGAAGCTGTGGCTGCTCMATCCTTGAAAATATTCATAGCTGGGTTCGACAGGGCTTGGAACAAYCTGGGWTAGTGRAAGGTRTCCCTGCCCGTGGCAGAAGGTGGAATGAGATGATTTTCAAGGTYCTTTCCAACCCAAACCMRTCTGGGATTCTGTGGTTATGAATGGTACCGCTCAGTTGCTGTCGGTGTGTGGCTGTGTCATCCCTCAGCGCTGCTTCTGTGCCCTTCTCCAGGGCTCTGTGCCATCATCCACTACTTTGTCCGTGGGCAGCTGGGCTGGTTCGGGCTGACCATCGCCTGCCTGGTGCCCGGCTACGCCGCCCAGCTCCTCAGCATCCTCTGGTTCCGGGCAGACGGACGCCCGCCCGGCTGCTGGCTCCTGGCTCTGCACCTCCTGCAGCTGGGCCTGTGGAAGCGGTGAGAGACCCTCCCCGTGACCCACCCGACCCCCAAAACCCGGWGCAGCCCCAAACTGCCCCAAGGTGGGCTGGGCAGCCCGTGATGGTGATGACGGTGACCCTTTGCAGGTACTGGGATGTCGTGTGGGCGGCGGCAGAGAAGGGCGGCGGTGCCGGGGAGGCGCTGGCTCAGCTCGGGGATGTTTGCGTGCTGCGGCTCCTGGAGGCCCTGCTGCAGACCCTGCCTCACCTCCTGCTCCAAGCCTACGTGGTGGTGGCCGTGGAGCCAGCAGGGCTGATCCCTGGTGAGCTGCCAGGAGGGGTGAGGGTTTGGGTGAGGGATTCAGGTGACCTCTGGATGGAGGAATGTGCTGCAGAGGGACTGGAAAACCTCGATGTGAAGCAGCAGGGACAAGGTTGGCTGAAAGATCTGCTCTGGCTGCATGCAGACGTGGCTGCTTTGCCACAAAGGTGAACTTCAGGTGTGCAGAGGGAGGTGTTGGGGTGTGGATCACGGCATGTGCAAGGTCACACTCATTGTCCATCTCTGGTCTGATCACAGTGACCGGGATGGAGCTGCCCTGGGGCTGCAGAGCTCTGTCCCTGGAGAGAGTGCTCAGAGAGCATCACAGGCACATGATGAGCACACAGACACCAGATTTAGTTGAAATAGTTCAATTTGATCCTTGGAAACATTCACAGTCAGGTTGGACTGGGCTCTGAGCAGCCTGGTCTCGTGGAAGGTGTCCCTGCTCGTTGCAGGTGGCCTTTAATGTCCTTTCCAACCCAGCCTGCTCTGTGATTCCTTGATTCTGTGATTCACTCAGCAGGATTGAACCCTCCCTAACACTGAGATACTGAGATACGGCCCTGCTGTGCATCTGAGCACCCTTCAGAGCCCTGACTGCCCCTGTCCCTTACAGGTGTCAGCGCAGGGCTGTCCCTGCTGTCCCTGGCCTGGGCTTTGGTGTCCTACAGCCACTTCACCTGCCTGCTGAAGCCTGGCCACCTGAGCCCTCCAGCCGCCGTCATCCTGTGCCTGCTGCTCTGGAGGACAGGCATGCTGGGCACCCGGGTGCTGGCCCTGGTGCTCTTTGCAAGGCTCTATTCCTTTTGGGTTTTTGCTGTGGCAGGTAAGACCTGAGATCCCCTTCCCTCCCCACAAATCGACGCCAGCCCTGCGACACTCCTGGTGCTGGGGCTGTTTGCAGCCTCTTCCATTCCATCCCTTCTCCCTGCAGGTRTCCACTGGCTGGTCATGTCCTTCTGGCTGGTAGCCCAGCAGACGGATATTGTGGCCCAGCCGTGCCGCTGGAGGCTCTTCAAYTGCCTGCTGGGAGCTGTGTACATCTTCTGCTACATCAATGTCCGGCCCGGCCCCTCCAAGAGCAGGGTGGCCGTGTTTTACTCAGTGAGTCCCCGGGATATTTTGTATTCCACATGGATACAGCTTCGGGGAAAAGCAGTAGCTCCAGGCTCTCACCTCCCACATCAGCACTTGCTAAAAATCCAGCGGTTTACAGTGTCCTGAAAAGCCACGTGGTCACCAGGGTGAATGTGCCTTCTGCACTGGCTTTGATTCCTTAGAGGCAGCCACACAATGTCAGTGGTAAAAAATAGATCGGTGAAGACCTTGCAGAGAACTCAGTTCAACAATTTCAATGTTTTAAGTGATAAATTTGGTGCAAAAGATAACAGGAGAAGAGTTCAAGGCCAGGTTGGACAGGGCTTTGAGCACTCTGGGATAGTGGAGGGTGTCCCTGCCCATGACAGAGGGTGGAATGAGATGATCTTCAAGGTGCCTTCCAGCCCAAACCATTCTGTAATTGTAAGAATAGATGAAAATCTAGAAACTGGGTGTTTCCTGTTCTCCGAGGCAAATCTAAAGCCTTTAGAAGGATAAAGGTGATGACTCTCTTCCCCCTGCCCTGCAGATAATGCTGATGGAGAACACKCTCCTGCTGCTGTTGGGCACCCGGTTCCTGCAGGCAGAGCTGAGGAACAGCCTGATGGTGACTGGGGCTGTCATGTCGGGGTCTGTGATAGGTAAGATCACGGGGATTGGAGCTTGGATTGCACATTTGGAGAGTAGTTTGAAGAAATGAGCATCCAGACCYTTGTCCCCAGTCCCTCTCCAGCTCTCCTGGAGCCCGTTTAGGCACTGGAAGGGGCTCTGAGCTGTCCCTGGGTCCTTCTCCTCTCCAGGTGAGCACCCCCAGCTCTCCCAGCCTGGCTGCAGAGCAGAGGAGCCCCACTCTTGGAGCATCTTCATGTCATATTTTCCCATGGGATGGGGGCACAAGGAAGCCCTGTGGGCTTTCCCAGAGTGGCCTCACACAGGTGTAAATAAATGGGATGGAAAAGGAGCAATTCCTGTGGTCTTGGATGAGTTTAGGACATCAGTAGGAAGCTGCCCTAAAAACCTGCTGCTATCTCTTGTAATGGCCAGAGGATGGAGGTGCTGTGACATGGAAAGTTCCCTGCATCTCACATCTCCTCCCTCCCCTGTGCCCTGCCTGGACAGCTGTCAGTCTGTACATTAATCCAGATTAAATTTGCGATTGAGTATGCATTTCCTTTACCAAAATCTGTTCAAGTGGGGTTTCTTGCATCCCTGTAAATGCATGAAGAATGAAAAATTTCCTGATTCCGAGCAGCATCTTTGCAAAGGGCTGATTGATCTGGAGGTGCAGCAAGGTCTGGCCTCTTCACACCTGACCCAAATGCTGCTGGGGCTCCTCAGTGACATTTTCCATCACTGCTCTTTTCCAGGTGCTGTAGCTCTGGTGGTTTACTACAGCCTGCTCCATCCCAAATCCACAGAGATCTGGCAGGGATTCCTGGAGTCAACCTGCGGTGCTGTAGCAGGTGGGGACGAGGAGGTGTCTGGAGAGAGCTCCCAAGCTGGGCAGAGTTCAGGGACTTTGGAAGATGAAGCATCCTTGGTGGAGGAAGGGACCAAGACAGATCCCAAAAATGAGACCAGCTCATCGTTCCTGCAGTCCAAAGGGTGTTTGGAGGACAGCTGGACTGACCATCACCACTGGCTGCTGGTGAAGCTGGCCATGAAGACGGGAGATCTGTCTGTGATCAACGCAGCTTTTGGAGATGGTGGCTTGGGAGAGGCTTTTCCTGGAGGATGGATGGGGACAAAACCCCCTGGGGTTGAGCCCGGGGCAAACTTTTCCCTCCCCGGGGCAAACTTTTCTCTCCCCATGAGGGACATCCGTCCATCTGGATTGACAGTAGAGAACGGAGGGGGTGTCAAACCCAGCGCTGGAGCTGTGGGGGTGGCTCAGGAGGATGGAGCAGGGCAGGAGCCTGATCTCCCCCCSTCCACATCCCATCACAGCGGCTTCTCCCCAGACTCGACCGAGAGCTCCTCTGTGTATTTCAGCGCGAGCGCAGGAGGCATCACCTCGCCTGGGACAGGGACAAACATGGCCCTGGTGCAAAGGGACAGCGAAGCACAGCCTCCCTCAGGCTGCCTGGGAGAAGGAGGAGGAGGAGGAAGAGGAGGAGGAAAGGATTTATCCCTTGGGATGGCCAGCATCAGCCCAATCCTGGGCTCTTGTGCCCACAAGTGTCTGCAGAGAAGCTCTTCCGTCGGCACCACAGACAGCTGTGGGGTGGCAGGTCCCCCCAAAGARGGGACAGAASCCACAGGGACAGAGRGTGCCCTCGTGGGGTGCCATCACCTTTGGGACACRCACCCCTGTGGCCCGCAGGAGACTGTTGTGAGGAGGAAGCTGAGGTCACCGTGCTTCACCTCCACCCCCAAGGCYGGTGCTAAAATCCCCCAGCGAGGACTGGGGGAGCTGGCACAGGGGACAGACCTGTCTGGCTACCAGGGTGACCCTGGAAATGGCTGAACTGTCACCTTGGGTCAGCCTTGGAGGGCCTGTCTCATCAACAGGGTGTGGCAGGGATGAAGATTGTCCCCCCACAGGGGCTGATGTGCTCCTCCATCACTGGGGTGTCACCTGCCCTCTCAGCACATCTTCTCCCTGCAGTTTTGAACAACTTCAAGAAGCCTTAAAACACCCTAAAAGTGCAGGGCTGGTTATTTATTGAGCTTATTTATGTCACAGTCCTGCCAGGCAGCTGGAGCATTCTGCCTTTGGTGTGACAATGACTTGAAGTGTGTCCTTTAACCAGTGGCTTGTCCCAGGGTGGAGCTCTGGTTGCTGTCTCCAGGGGCTGCAGTGCTGCCCAAAGCAGCTTTCTCAGGAYGAATAAGTGCCTCAACCAGAAAAATGATGAGTTTTACTCTTTAATATCCTTCCTCCTGGGCAGAGTAAACCCTCAAGTAAGGCTCAGCAGTGCTTGATTTATTTTTCCCCACCAGGTTTATGTGAGACCTTTTCCACATCCATTTTTGGGGGTCACAAAGGATTGCAGRTCCTCTTTGTGCTGCAGATCAGAACCTCAGGACATGGAATTACAGCCAAAAGCCACGTCCTGCCACTTGCCTGCTGTCCTGCTTCCTCAAGTGGCCTTTTCTCTGCAGCCTCCTCCTTGTCCCCTCTCAGCTGSAGATCACAGCACCCCAGAATTATTTGGGTTGGAATGGAACTTTAAGCTCACCCAGGTCCAACCCCTCYGTGGGCAGGGASAACTTCCACTATCCCAGGTGACCACATTATGATCCACCTGGATGCTCCCTCCTAAACTCAGCCTCAAGCCAAATCTCAGACCAGTTCCTACTGCCACCATAATAAAATCCCTGGTGCAGGAAGGGTTTGTTATTTCAAGAACTAAAAGCATCACTGTTGTGGTCTCACAAACATCCAGTGCTTCCCACTGGGCTGGCTGGRCATGGATTTGTGCCCAGGACACAGACTGGTGCCCAGGACATGGCCTGACATGTTAATTGAGATGTGAGCAGCTGGATTCAYCACTGAGCTCGTGGGTGCCAKCTGGAGCACATCTGGCTGTGCCCTCCAGCTGCTGCTCCACTGAGTGGGGTTCTGCTGCTGCCACGGGACAGGAAAAGGAGCAGGAAGGACACCTGTGATGAATTATTTAAAAAAGCTTCCACAATGCATTCCCTGCTCAGGGCTGACCCAGCCAGATGTTTCCTCAGGGCACTCAAAACCCAGTTGGTGCYGGGTATGGAGTGAAGCCACATTCCAGTGTGGTGAAGGCTGCCTGTCTCCATCTGGACCCCAGCCCTCCGTGCTGTGGCTGGGATCTGCAGGCAGGAGCAGCTCCAGAGGCTTTTCCAGAGTCATTCTCACTCTGGATCATACAGAAGGGAGCATTAACAGGAATTTTTACCTGGCTTGGTTTTCTACTTTTGATAATATATCATTATGCTTTGAAAGAACCCAACCAGTCTTTGCTGTGTCTCTGTCTCATGTTGGGGGTGAAAGTAAGTGTGGACTGGTCTCTGTTCCCACTTTTTGCTCCTACAGCTCCTGCAGGATGAGTCTGTCAGGATTTCCAGTGGGAGGGTGAAAAGGGACCTGAGCAACAGGATCTGAGGGAACGGCCTGAAAATGTGTCAGGGAAGGTTTAGGCTGGATATTACAAAAGGATTCAACCAGCATGAAACTGTCCCATGGGCCAGTCAGAAAAGAAATAGAATCTTGAGAAAATAAAGAATGCTTGTGTGCACAGGAGTCAGGTGTACATGAGGAGCTTGATTTTTCAAAGAACACCCACAGTTCAGAGGTGCACTGTGAGCTGGCACCTCTGACCTTGGAGTGGGGTTGTGGAAATCCTGGATGGATCAAGGAGTGGCAAAAGAGAGGGGGGAATCTGGAGGCAGGGGGTGGGGATGAGGATGTTTGTGTGAGGGCTGGCTGTGTTCCCATCTTTGCTCCCTGCTGATGAGAATTGGTCACTGCTGAGCCTGGGGAGCAATGTGAAATCAGGTGGGACAATATGGATTTCTGTCCTTAAAAGCTTCCAGCCTGTGTGAGAGCCCTGCTCTCTCACAGGGGTCAAGTTCTGAGTGCTGGGTGCAGTCCCAGCACTGATCCACAGGTCTCAACCAATAAAAATAACCTGCATTTAATCAGAGAAACAAAATGGTTGGGATAGAAGGGATCCTGAAGCTCATCTCATTTCAACCCCTGCCATGGCCAGGGACACCTTCCACTGTCCAACCTGGCCTTGGACACATCCAGGGCAGCCACAGCTTCTCTGGGCACCCTGTGCCAGAGCCTCTCCACCCTCAGGGAAGGATTTATTCCCAATATCCCATCTAAACCTACTCTTCAGKGAACTCTAAAGCCCTGTTTGAAGTAGGAGTATTTCAGCAGCAAATCACAGCTCCAGATACCCCTCCCCACCCTTCCCATCCTTTGGGGGGTGGAACTGAAGATGCCCCAATGACCTGGCACATCTCCAGATTTCTCCCGATGCTGCCAGACTCGGGAAATCCCATTGTAGAGTGTTTCTCCCCAAAACTCATTGTTCCTTTGCCACCAGAGGGAGATGCTGCTCAAGGTCCAGACGCTGCGTGCACATCCCGTTATGGAATCACAGAATCATTGAGGTTGGAAAAGCCCTCTAASCTCTAAYCGAGTCCAACCAGCACTRCCAAGGTCACCACTAAACCGTGGTCCCATGTGCCACRTTTACATGGTAAATGTAAATTTTAAATCCTTCCAGGGATGGGGACTGGAGAGGAGAGGGACGGGCAACATTGTGGGGTGTTTCACAAGAGGGATGTGGGGCGTTGTGCTGGGAGCCAGAGGGATTGAAATGGGAAGCTCTGGGATACTGGAGGTGGAGGAATGAGGCCTTGGCTGTGGACATGTCCTGCCTCCCCAGGCATCACAATGCCTTGGGGAATGTTTGAAAATCTCCAGCAGGGTCATGCTGGTATTCAGGGGAAGAGTTATCCACCTGTAAATATCCCSTGGTGCCCTCAGGTCCAAAAGTGTGTGTGTATGGGGAGATGCCCCAGMTCACACAGGATGCAGGATGGGACCCTGGGGTTTGGTAAAACCGGGTCCAGCTGCCACCACCATGGTGCTGAGGCCTGATTTTGGTCCTGTGTCCCTGGAGCTGTGCCCRGGTGGGTGACATTGTCACTCCCTGCTCTGGTCTGTCCTCACAGCAACCCATGGGGTGMAGAAATCCCACAAATCCCACAAATCCCAGGTCTCTGCTTTCTGTGGAGCAATGTGGAGGCCTGGGGCAGTCTAAACCCAGGATGAGAAACTGCAGCTGGCAGAGGGGCAATGGACCAACCCACTGATGCATCTCCCAGGTGCCCCAAATACTTAAGGAGAACCAGCCAGACCCTCTGCTCCTTCTGCAGCATYTCCCATGAAGCTCTTTCTGGATGAGGAATGTTATCCTGAGCTAGATCAGGATCTGCTCAGCTTTTGGGGGTGCTCATCACCAACATTTGAGCTTCAGCCACTCACAGCAGGGTTGGAGAGAAGGGATATCTCCATCCCACTGCACTCAGATAAATTGTCCAGTTCTTTTGCCTGCTCTGGAACAGAAAATTTCTGCTCATGTGCCTCCTGTGAACCTTTTCCATTTTGTTTCTTAAGGAAATCCTCTCCATCACTTTAGAGAGGCGGAGGGCCATGCCCCAGCCCAGGAAAGCTCAATGTCACTGGTGAGAGGAGCTCTCCAGGGAAACACAGGAGCAGGAACTGAGGGTGAATTGTGACAATGCAGGGAGTGACCCACGGGCTCCGCAGGAGAACTGGCCGTGCCACTCCCTGGTGATCTGGAMAAAGGAGCAAACAGGCAGGAACAGAGGCTGCGTCCCTGAGGAATTAAACAATGCCTAGGTGAGTGCCTGGGCTCCAAGACGTGGCTGTCCTGACCACTGGCACTTGGCTTGTTATTTCTAATGGGTCACTCTCATCCCTCTTTCAAGGTGAAATAAAGCAGGATGGAATTGTACCAGCAGGGCTCCAGGGTTGCAGCAGCCCTGCCCCAGCCCTGCTRGGATCTCACCTTTCAGCAGCCCAATTTCTGAGCCCTGTCCATGGGTGCCAGGTTTTGGGCTGGGTGAAAAACATTCCCTCCAGCTCCAAGATGATRTAACACCCCAAGAAAGATTTACTCAGAAAAACCCATCTTTTCGCTTCCAACAACATTGACACACAATGCTTGGACATAACAGAAAATAGAATTATTTGCCCTGGGGCTGTTGTTATTTGTTTGTTTTTTCCAAGCTGAAACTTTGGATGTTTTTTCCCCCTTTAATTAAATTTGGGTTGCTGCAAATCCCTTTCTGGAGCTTTCAGTGTTCCTGTAAAAGGCAGMGCCTGGGCTGCAGCTCAGTGCCCATGGCTCCAAGGCTAAACAATGCCACGGAGGGGGGGAGCACAGGGTAAGCCCAGCTAATCAGGACTTGCCTAATAGGACCGAGTGCTTAATGAGGACCCAGGGACTGTTCTTGCAGGGCTGGATTTGGCTGGAGGAAAATGCTTTGTGCTCTCAGCACCAGGTTTGAGAYGGCTCAGTTCCCTCAAATGTGCTGGAGCGGTGTTTTCTCCCTCCTGTGAAACCATCCTGATGGATCTGCAAGGAATCCGTGGGGATTCAGGGATGCTGGAGGAGGTGAACAAGACCCTGGAGGCAAAAGGATCCAGTGCTTGATTTGCTTGAACGGAGATGTTTCAAACCAAAACACTGTTTATACCTTAATTTTCCTAAGCAAAGCCATCAAAAGGGCCCTGCCCACTCCTCTGGATGTCCTTGGAGCTCCCTGAGGAGCTTCGTGTGGATTTCAGGGATTGACTTCAATAAACAACAGCAAATGTTCCTCGGTTTTGTCCTGGAGATCTGTTTGGATTGTCTGTCCCCACTGCTACACCCCAGCTCCAGTACAGTTTGGGAAGGGGGTGGTATAGGGAAGGCACCTCATGCCTGAGGCCTTTTCCTGGCTAACAAGAGACATTTGGGGTTCAGTGCTGGGACTTTGGGATGCAGAGCAGGGTGTCAGAGTGTGCACARGGGGGTGGGTGCTGGGATGCAGATGGGTGTTGAGTGCATGGAGAGGTGGGTTCAGATGTGGGGGGGTGGAGCCCAGATGTGCATGGTGGGTGGGTGCAGAGGTGGTTGGGAGCCCAGATGTGCCCAGTACTGGAGGGCAGATGTGAGGTGGCTGTCGAGGCCAGTGGGTGCTTCCACCCGCTGTGGAGCACTGGGGTGTGCGTGGATCAAGCGGGGACCGGGGCTGTCTAGTCCTGGTTGGGTCTCAGGTCCAGGTTTGGTGCTGGGTCCAGGGCTGTGCCAAGCTGGACGAGGGGCTGGATCCAGGTCTGGGGCTGGGTCGGTGCTGGGGCTTGGTCCAGGTCTGTACCCAGTGCCGGGTCCTGGCTCTCGGTCTGGGTCTGCAGCCGAGCTCTCTGTACAGTGCCTGGCACGGGTCCCAGTTCTCTGTCCGGTACCGGGGCCGGTGCTGGGTCTGTGTCCAGGGCTGCGGCAAGGTCCGGTGACCGTAGAGGGTCCAGATCCGTGCCTGGGTCCGGGTCCGGGGCGGGGTCCGGGTCCGTATCCGGGTCCGGGGCGGGGTCGGGTGCTGGGTCCTGCTTTGGGTGCAGGTCCAGGTGTCGGTAGGGGATCCTGTGGGGTTTGTGCCCGGTCCGGGTCGGTGACGGTTCCGTGACTGTGCCGGGTCCGGGTCCCGGCGCGGTCGGGTCGGGGCGGTGTCAATTCTGGGTCTGSTCCCAGTGTGGGTCAGGGCGGGGTCGGTG